GTCTGAGAACCATTGAAATTGTTAACACTCAGACAGTAGAGGAGGAGGTAGGGCTGAGAAGTGTCATCTTATACATTGGACATCCTCCTTTCTCTCATGAGTAATATGGGGCTGCTGCTATTTGAATGTGACTTTTTTTTGGTGTTTTTGAGACAGGGTCTCGCTATGTAATTCAGGCTGGCCTTGAACTCACTATGTAGTCCAGGCTGGCCTTGAACTTGCAGTGATCCTCCTGCTTCAGCCTCCCAAGTGCTGAGACTGTAGGTGTATGCCCAGCTTCAGTTATGACATTCATTTCTGTTTGCAATATAAATGCTGATTTGAGTTAGGAAGGGTATAGTGAAATAAAGCTAACAAAATACCTCAGTGACACAGTACAATGCAATGCAACATTCCTGTATTACAGCTTTTTCCCAGAACATCAACCATAAGCTTTTCATGGAGCAGAAAACACAATTTTTTTTTATTTTAAAAATAAAAGGAGGAAAACATTAACAGACACACAACCTTTTACAAAATAGCAAAAGAACTGTACAGACAATACAGAGTTACAAACAAAGTGGTAGGAAATTAACAATGCTTGTTGTATTACATATTGATATCTTCAAAGTGGTTTCTCATGGAAACAGATAGAGACATGCAATATTGATCAATCAAGGACTCATTGACAGTTTCTTTCAGCAAAGAAATAGAAGATAGCAGAACAACTATGTTAACTATCCTGTATATACACACATACAAAATTTCTCCTTCTTTCCCTTCTCTTTTCCCACATCCCAGTTGCCCTTTACCCTTGAGTGTTTTCCTATTAATTCACAATGTCTATCATATCTCCTAGTTTAAATTAACTCTTTCAGGTTTTACACTAGTGAAACAATGTGGAGCTTGCACATGCAGGTCTGATTTATTTCACTTATGAATATGGTCTCTAGTTGTGACCATTTACCTATAAAAGCCTCAAGTTTATCTTTTTTATAGCTGAGTAATATTCTGTTATACAAAAGTACCATAATTTTCTTATCCAGTCCTCGGTGGATGGACATTTGGGTTGCTTCCACAATTTAGCAGTTACAAATTATGCTGCTAGGAACATAGGTGCACATATATCCCTGTGATATGATGTTAACACAAATTTTATAAAGAAGTGAGTTTTTTAAAATCCCGCTTAATGTATCAGATTTGTATATGAAGAAAACCAAGGGGTACCCTGAAAAAGGAGCACCGTTTTAGTGCCCGGGAAAAGGGACAGAGGAGATGAAATGGGACTCAAGTCTAAAGCTTGCTGATCTCATGGATGCGCTTTTGCCTTCTGTGTCTCTGGGTTGTGTGATGTCTTTGAAAATGACTCAGTCTCAGTGTGCACCTTCTCACGGTCACACTTTGCACTCACTTTCCTTGTGACCCTCAAGAATACACTAGTTGTGAAAGTAAGATGGCCTTGAGAGATACGTAATGATTTCATATGTCCATTTAACATTTAAAGCATTGCAAATGAGCCCGGCATGTTCGCACATGTCCGTAGTCCCAGCTGCTCTGGAGGCTGGGGCAGGAAGAATGCAGGTTTCAGGCCTGCCCGGACAACTTGGGAGACCTTGTCTCAAGTAAAAAGAATTGAGTAGCTCAGTGGAGTACAGGAGTTTAATTCTGGCCCTGGCAGTCACCATTTTGTGTGACTCTGGCCGGGTCCCCATTGCTCAGTGATAACAAGAAAATCTGTTTTAACTGTAGTTCCCTACAAGATGTTTTGGAGGGTTAAATGAGTCTTCAGTGTACCTACTGCGTACCTAGTGCATAAGAAACCCTCAGCAAGTGTTCAGCGAGTGCCTAAGTATAATGGTACTTATTTCTCCAGGCAGTTTCATGCTTGTGTTGTAACTTGAGAAATGGGAGACACTGATTAATAAAGCAGTGATAGATATTAATATGAAAGAATTTCAGAAGGACTGAAATTTTAAAACCGTACATGAGAAATAGAGAAGAGAGTGGTCTAGGCACAGGAGAACACAATTCAGGAGAAGAACGTGACTTAAAAACCATCTGTACCTTATTCTAGTGGCTCCTCCCACATTCCCCATGGTCTCCCCAAACTACTGATACCAATTCCGTGTTGCTTATAAATTCATTTGGTATCTCGGAGCACAATTCATTGAACAGGACTCGAAAGCAACCGACTACCACATTAGGCTGTCCTCACTTAACAGGGCCATTAATTCCTCTGACCATTCCTTCTCTGTCCTTTTTAGTTTGAAGATCATTCTCCTAGCTGGAGAAGACTAAAACAAGCTAGGCATAGAGTTTCTGTTTTTATCTATTGAGATTACTTTCTCTTCCTTCACAAAGAGTAGGTTTTGTTCTGCCTTGTTTTTCTTTCTCTAAGCACAGGTTTTGAAAGACTCTCCTTGTTGTTTTTGGTAAGCCTATGATCATTCTGGACCACAGCCAGCAGGCCAGTATTCATACAGGCTTGGGTCACTTTCTTCTTGACCTTGATTACCTGCTTGTTCCCTTTTACTGCTTCCCATTTTAAAAATTCTTTTTCAGAACCATATTGACAGATCATTAGCGTGTTAAGATCAAGTGAAAGTGGTCAAAGGAGATGGCTTTTAAAATATAGCCCTGAGGTTTTGTGCCTAAGGATTCAGAGTATGGTACCATTGCTAATACAGTCAGAGGTAGAAATATGGCACTGGTTTGGAGTAAAGGTGGTCAGCTCAGATTCAGGAATTGGAAGGACAGTTGGAGATGACCCATCAGGCAGTTGAAATGTAGAATTAAAGAAAATGGGAGGCTGGACATGGTGGGACACATCTGTAATCCCAGTAGTCTTGAAGTAAGGCAGGAGGATAGCAAGTTCAACCCCAGCCTGACAACAGAGACTTAGTGAAACCTTGTCTCTAAATTTTAAAAAGTGGGCAACGTAGCTCAGTGCAAAGGTCCTGGGTTCAACTGCTAAAAAAGGAAAAGAAAAGCGAGAAACCATAACTGGGTAGATATAGCAGTTGTTCAATTTAATTCACCACAAACATAGATGAGATACTGTACAAATACATAGTCACCTTCAGAAGATAAACAGTGAGAAAAATCAGAAGCTACAGAACTCAGGAGAAAGAATCTTTCCGAAAAAAGAGGAGAGTGAAGTACAGCTCCCTGAGGAAACACCAACAAACCAGAGTAACTCTGAAAGCATTTCGTTGTTGTTCCATACTGCATCATCTTGTGCCAACTGTCTGTCCCACTCAGTTAGATGCAGTGCACATCCATATATGCAGCGTAATAGCTATGCACAGGAGTGTAGCAGTAGCACCTTTCTTCTTTTCTGTAATTGAGTTACTCTGTGACTGTGTCATACAGAGTGTTAGAAGATCTCAAACTAAACCGAATTGTTCAAAACTGAACCTCAGATACTTTCCTAAGATTGTCTATACCTCAAAAGGGTTAGAGGTAAAGACATGGTGATCCGTGGTTTGGAAACATTACTCCAGCCTGTGGGAGGCCAGAGGAACCCTTAATCCTGCCTGGGATGAATGTTATGACCGGAGGAAGTCGTGGTATTTCATCCATAAAATGAAAGAAGCTACATTTCATCGAAGAGCCTTTTGGTGCTAGAATAAAGTAATTTTTCCCCATTAGTAAAACTTACCCCTTGTTTTTGCCTTTTTCAGAAGGTAGTGCACTATTTGTGGGAGCTGGGGAATTTAAAAGCTAATGTCTCCCTTTATTTTCATGAGAAGTGTCCTGTCATTCTGGGCCTTGGTAGCGTTTGGGGTTTAGAGAATAGATTTTTACCTGGAATTCAAACACTCACAGTTTAAACAAAAGCCGCCCCATTTCAGAGTAAACTCAGCGTATAACGAATATAGAAAATTGGTGAATTAGAGAATTTTCTTTTTTTTTTATAAACTAGACAATCACATTTTAAGAAACTTTTTTTTTTTTTTTTTTTTGGTTTTTCTCCGGTACCGGGAACCAAACTCACGACCTTGCGCTTGCCAGGCAGGCACTTTTGCCGCTGAGCTAAATCCCCAGCCCATTTTAAGAAACTTCTAGATTTCAGTAGGATGCTAGATATCAGCCTTGAGCCAGAAAATTCTTTTTTTGCCACCTGGTAGATGTCAACTCTACTTTATGAATTCCAAAAGGAGAGAAAAAGTTGGTTCCTTTGAGAATAGGGAAGCTTGAGTAACTAATTCGTGATGTTGCTACTCTCACATCTACCTTTCTAGTGGGAAAAGTTTTCAGACCAACAGGTGGGTGTCAGCACAGTATTTTATATGGATTTTCAGCAGTAGTTAGCAAGTGGCAAAGATTAAATGACAGAAGAATGACGGCAACTGAGTTCATGTTAAGTACTTAAATTGAAGGTTAGACGATCAGTAGTAGCAGAATGTAAATATCTAATTCTTGCAAGATGAAGCCACTAAATATCTAGGAGAAACAAATCACTGTTGGTCTTGGTTTGGGTTTTCTATCAGCAAATGTTATAGTGGCCACCTGCTTCTCCACAAGAGCTTGGATCAGGAGGTACAGGAATAGTCAGATTTGTGTTTGAAAAGCATCTCTACCGAATTAGAAGAGTAACGTAAGGAAGAGGCCTTCATGCTTTCTCACGAGAAACCAGACTTCAGAGAGAGATGTAATTGATCTTGGACAGAGCAACTTTATAATTTTTCTAAACATGTTAGAAGAGAAACTAACATGGCACATGTTTTTCCTCCCTTCCTTGTGTAAACATAACTAACCAAGCTCCTTATCCCACTGAACCCTACCGTCCTTTATACCCTTTCTCATTATGCTGTTGCACGCAACCTCTTCCTTCCCATTGTGCTGAGCATGAGTGGTGTGCAGGAGACTGAAATATTTCCTACAGTTTTTTGTTTTATGCTTTTGGGATGTGATATTTCTACACAGGGCTCTACTGATTTTTTTTTTTGTTTTTACAGAGTCCATTTTCCAATTAAAAAATAACATTATATTAAGAGAGTCTTCTTTTTGCCAATTAGGTCAAAGTCCCAAAATTTTAAGACCCAAACCCCATGGTTTAGAGCGAACTGATTCACAAACCATAGGTGACTTTCCTACAAGAAGAAAGGGTATGTACTTTAGCACCGCATGCTCTATGGGACATTGGGAATTTATTTACTGTGGAATGTTTTTTCTTAAAGAGGGGGAAAAAAAGAGCCTTAAATACTACTCCTACTATTGTAAATAAGGCTTCCCAGCATGTTATTTCTAAAGTCAACGCTTCCCATAATACATAATGAGTCTAGTTATTACGCCATCAACAGCAGCATGTTAAATATTTGATAATGTGATATTCAGTCTTGTCCTTTTGCTTTATTCGTTTAACTTTTTAGACAACAGTACATTGTTTTCTTTAAGCTTATTAACTGTTTGTGAGTTCTAGTTGTCTCTTATCTTTATATGTATATATGTATAATATATATATGTATTCTATCCTAAGACATCATAAAGAATTATTTCTATGTATTAATTGTGCCGTTACTTAGAAACTGACAGCTAAACTGCTGATAGCCTTTGCATGTCAAAAAAAAGAAATATTAGCTAAGCATGGTGTTGCACACTTATAATACCAGCTACATGAGAGGCTGAGGAAGGAAGATCACAAGTCTGAGGCCAGCCTGGGCAATTAATTTACCAATTTTTAAAAAAAATTTTATTATTTATTTATTTGGTGGTACTGGGGATTGAACTCAGGGCCTTGTGCTTGCTAGGCAAGCACTCTACCACTGAGCTACATCCTCAACCCTATTATTATTTGGGTGTGGTTTTTTTGTTTGTTTGAGACACAGTCTTGCTATTGAGTTCAGGCTGGTCTTGAACTTACTATGTAGCCCAGGCTGGCCTCCAATTTACCAACGCTTTGTCTCAAAATAAAAATTTTTAAAAAGAGGAGGGGAATGTAGCTCAGTGGCAGAATATTTGGCTGGCTTGCGTAAGACCCTAAGTTCAATCTTCCATACCTTAAAAAACAAAAGTGAAATTTTAGAAATTAAATAGTACAACATTCTCTACACATCTATTTTTAAGTATATAGATCAGGAAAATTGTTTTAATTTGAATTTAATAAATGAGTTCAGTTTTCACTGTATTTGGTTATGAGCCTGTGGAATCTGTGTAGTCCTTTGAAATGATGGCCTGTATTGTAATTTGATGGTAATTATGACATAGTTGATTAAAATTACACATAGATGAACAATGACTGAGGAAACCTGGACAGATGAAAACCATTTTTATAGCGTCAGGATGAAACATAACTAAGATATTTACCTATATGTTTAAACAGTCTTCTAAAGTATAATTAATATTAACAAATGCTAGTGTTTTAGATGTTTTGTACACTCCATACATTTCTGAAAAATGACTCAGTCTTGAGATTAAGAAAAAGACCAAGAACTCTATAGTACATATTAAAATAATTGTCTACTGCAAAAATGAGATAAGACCCTTTATTTTAAAAAAATTGAATAAAAGTATTAGTATTATTTAATTTTATTTGATGAAGGAGGTGTTAGTTGAATTAAACTAAAATTTTGAGGTGATTATTTAATTACAGCCATTTCATTTATCTTTTTGTTTGTTTCCAGACTGAGTGCAAATTATTTTTAAAGAGTTGATCATTAATCTTTGTGTTTTTAGCAAAATTTTAGTTTGGTTTTAGTGAAGTTTAAAAATCCTTCCTGTGCATCATTTTGCATGTATACTTGTATAACTGATGCTTTTTTTTTTTTTTTTTTTTTTTTTGGTTTTTCCTCCGGTACCGGGAACCGAACTCAGGACCTTGCACTTGCCAGGCAGGCGCTTTTGCCGCTGAGCTAAATCCCCAGCCCCTAACTGATGCTTTGATAGGGAAAAATAGGAGTGTTTTTACTAAATGATTAATATCCACATTGAAGATAAATTAGTAAAACAATGAGTTAATAAAATAATGAAACATGTAAATCAAGCAAGTATAAAGGAATTTGGGTCGTATTAGTCTTTCTTATTCTCTTTATATTCACAAAATATTTACTTAAATTAAGAAGCAACAGGTTATAATACAGCTTTAGACTTGAAGTTGACAATCATGAAGCATTTAATTTAACTTCTGCCATATAGGGTGTAACTGTGTAACCAAGCTGGGTATGAGCTTTATTTCATGTGTGAAACTAGCTTGTCTTAGACGTAATCTGTCAGACATAAATTGAGATATAGAGGATCTTGTTTTCCAAAGTTTGTACCCTAAAATCTTCTTTTTTTCTTTCTTTTCAGCCAAGCCAGCACCTTTAGAAATAAAACCTTTGCCAGAATGGGAAGAGTTACAGGCCCCTGTCAGATCTCCCATCACTAGGAGCTTTGCGCGAGAGTAAGCACTTTGTTTAAAATATGTACTTTGAGTAACATGACTATCTGAAATTGTTTGTTGTCAAACAAGATGACTAAAACAGTGATTCTCAAAGGATGGCCTGGGAGCACTGCTTTTGAGGTTCTATGAAGTCAAAAGTATTTTCCTTCAGATACTAGGAAGTGAAGTTGCCTTTTCTGTTCTCTCTGTAGAGTTTTCCAGATCATATGTGGTAATAATCATGTGACCGTTAATACAATGTATATTTTTATATTCTTCTATTTAAAGAATATTTCTATTTGCATTTCTAATATAATGTTAATGGAATAATGTATATAAAATATGTTGAGGTTCTCAGTTTTTTAAGTGTATTAAGGGTTCATGACAAAGTATTTCTGACAAATACTGGGAAATACAGTAGTTTCTTATATGGCTTATTGAGTGGAGATTTATTTAAATGTATATAGGGAGGTGAGAATAATTTATTAAGCTAAAACTTGGGATGAGCATGTGTTCATTTTTTTAGAACCGGGAATCGAACTCAGGACCTCACACTTGCCAGAAAGGCACTGTGCCACTGAGCTATAACCCTGGCCCCTCATGTGTTTGTTTAGAGGTTTACATACAGGTAGTTTTTCAAAAATTTTTAAGTTGTTATGGATTTCTACTTACCCACAAATTACTGGTAATATTTATTTTTGTTTGCATCACAGAATACAATTTGATGTCCAAAGAGGGCTTTGTAATAAGATATATGTATGTGTATATATATATAGTGTAGTCACACGTGTTCAACAAATGTATAAAATAAACAAACATAGATGAATCTTCTGGAAAGATGCACACTATCACTCACTTGTACTTCGAGCATGAATTTAGGAATTGTGTCAGGGTTCATGTTTATGATGATGATTTCTGTGGTCAGCTCCTCTAGGTTTCCCTTATCCCCCCGGCCGGATTCAGTACATAGTACAACATCAAGCAGTGACTCACATGACAGCGAAGAGAACTATGTTCCCATGAATCCAAACCTGTCCAGTGAAGATCCAGTACGTAAAGGTTTTGTCCTAATCTCTCCCTTCCTGAGAAGTCCTTTGAAAACAGTTTTCTTCCAGCCTGTATGTTTTACCTTCACACCTTTCTCTTCATACTTCAGGGAAAACAATCACAGGCAACTTTTTAAAATGCTTTTTGCATTTGAAAAAGTAGTATCACAAAGACCAAAATCGATGTGGCCAGTGGGTAACAGCATCTGTAACTCTAAACTAGTTGAAAATAGAGTCAGTTTTTGTGTCTGCCACCTCTCCATAACTGGACCAAATCCTGAGATAATGAACTTATAAGCAGGACGAATTTATCTAGGCTCACAGTTTTGGAGTGGTTGGCCCTGTCAGTTGGGGCCTGTGGCAGGTGTGCGTGGCAAGGAGTCAGGAGGATCCTTGCAAGTTTGAGGTCAGCCTGGGCTGCAAAGTGAGCTCAAACTCAGCCTGAACCGCATAGCAAGCCCCTATCTCAAAAAAGCAAAAAAAAAGTCTAGAAAGTCAATCCAGACCTGTAATCTCAGCTGCAAGGGTGAGGTAGGAAAGAAATAAGAAAAGAAAGTGATCATTACAGCAATGTTTACCACACTTCTTTAATTTTGGAATTTAATGTGTTTATGAAATACCTGGAATTTCCCTATCTAGTGTGTGCTTGCATTGGTGAAATCAATTTATAAAAAGAAAGAAAAAAGAAGACATAGTCCTAGAGAAGTTGAGACAGGATCAGACCAAATGAAGACTAAATTCTCTGAATTGAAGTTTTTGAGGCTCAATACATTTCCTAGACCAGTGATCATGAGGTGGTCAGAGTACTGTGAAACATTCTGTCTTAGCATAGTTATTTTCTCATTGCTGGGACAAAATACCTGATGTTAAAGGAAGAAAGGTTTATCTTGGCTCACAGTTTATAGAGGGTTCAGTCCATAGTCAGCTGACTCCAAGGTGGAGAGGCATAGCAGAGGGCATCACAAAGGAGGAAGAGCTCAGGGGTGGGGGCAGGAGAAATGCAGAGGTCAAGGAGGAGGGAGGAAGATACACCCATCTAGGCCACGCCCCTAGTGACTCACCTCCCATCACATTTACCTATAAACTCCTCGGTGGACTGATCCAGTGCTGAGTATCATACCCATATGATCCAGTCACCTCCCTAAAGCCCCGCCTACGGGCACATGAGATTTTTGGGGAACATCTAGATCTAAACCACAATACATTCATGTAAGGATCAAGTCACACATTCATCAAGTGAGCCCATAGTGTGACACCTGAAATTTGAGTGAAGGTGCAGCATTACTACAGACCTAAATATTGTCATGTAGCAACAGCAACACCGATATCCTCAACAATTTTGTGCATCTTAAAAGCACTTTAGAAAATCCGAGCACCAGTTTTGTTATTTAATTTAAAGAATGCTTATAATAACTCCTAGTGTCATAGTTCTTCTCTAAAAAAAAAAATCTGTTTAGGGAAATACTGGGTGAAAGGTCAGTACAGGAAGTTCCCAGCTAAGATGAGACCAAGAGCAAAGAATGTCCTTGTAGACACATTTCCAGGGAGGGACATGAAGGCTGCAGGTTCTTTCTTTGGTCACATCTGAAGACAGACTGTCACCCATGCTCACAATTGACTTTTTAATGTGAGAGTGAAATACAGAGCCATTCAGGAAAAAAAAGTTGTTGATTTCAGTTTCTTCATGAATTAGGAAGGAGGGTATTGCTATTTCTATGAATTGAGCGTCAAAACTTTTTCACTTTTGTGCCCTTTCTGTTATTTGCAGTGTTTTTTAATATTTTGTTTGCAGTAGTTAGCTTTGATTGATAAATCTGTTGCTCCAAACAGATCATCACGTTGACTTGGGCAGGTGGTTCATTACGTACATACTGCATAGCTCACTGGGTGAAATTCAGGCCTTACTGTGCTGCTCACCAGGCTATGGGCCCTGGCACGAGCTGTGTTGCTCTACAGGACGGGGCACCTTTCCCCAGCTCACAAGCAGGTTTTGTACTTGCTGTCAGCAGCTCAGCTACCACACGGCGAAACAGATGCAGTATTTCTCTAGCAAGTGTCCTTTCCCCAAAGCATAGCTTTCTCTGTTTAACCTAAAAGAAAGGAAGTAGCAAACAAAAAAAAAACCAATCAACAGAATCACATTTATGTACTTTGCAAGTTGATTTGTTCATTCCAGCAGGTAATACTGTAAAGTTTGTTAGGTCCTCATGATCTTCAGAAGGGTGAGATGATAGATGATCGTGAATACTGACATGGCGGAGACCATAATGAGGAAGCAGTCCTGTCGCTGAGAAGTCTGTCGCGTTTCTAGATGGGGAAAAAGCAACGAGGCGTGCACACAGGACATGTCTTGGAGCACGTTCAGAAAAACACCAGAATCAGGGTAGAATGAATGTAGGGACATAAGTTCATATCATCCTTCCTTTCTGCCTAACATGGTTCTTAAAGTTCCTGATAACCTACTTCATTTTTCTGCCTCAAGCTTTTTTTGTTCTTTTTTTTAATCACTGTCCTGTATTTCTTTACCGTCTTCTAGAGAGCACCTGTTCTATAGTTCCTTCTAGGAAGAAAACATGATCAAGTTAAGAGAAGGCAGAGAAAATTATATGTCCAGAATTCCAGATGATTGAAATAAACAGCTTGTCAGTGGAGTCATCTGTAAAGTTTAGTTAGCATATACACTTAAAGCCTCTGAGTGACATGTAGAAAGATCTTTTTAAGCTTAACTTAAATCAAGGACTATAAGGATCCTTTATTATAAAAATATAATTGGCTACAGATAAATTTAGTTATGTTCAAGTTGTGCTGTCAAGACCAACTGTGGCTTGATGTCCCCTCCTTCCTTTAACCAAATTTAACTTTTGAAACTACTTTTAGCTTGCTCTTCAGTTTAAATCAATTTGTAAATATTACTTTTAATCCCAAAAGTTTACTTTTCTAAGCAGACACTTCTTCAAGCTACGTTCTCTTGGAAATAAGTTATCCATGCTTCAATAGATGACAGGCAAGATAAATGGTATGCGTTGGGTGCAGTGGTCTGTGCTTATAGTCCCAGCTACTCAGGAAGCTGAGGCAGGAGGATCACTTGGCCCAGAAATTCGAAAGCAGCCTTGGCACATAGCCAGACTTCCTCCATTAGTGAGTCTCAAGTGTATTTGACCATTGGTTTTACTCTGTTGTGCTTTCAGAATCTTTTTGGTAGTAATACCTTGGATGGAGGAAGCAGTCCTATGATCAAGCCCAAAGGAGACAAACAAGTGGAATACCTGGATCTAGATTTAGATTCTGGGAAATCCACACCACCACGTAAGGTAAGTCCAACCTTTTTTTTTTTTATAAATATAGTTAGAAGCCGGGCATGGTGACACATGCCTGTGATCCCGGCACTCTGGGAGACTGAGGCAGGAGGATCACAAGTTAGCACTAGCCTGGGCAATTTAATGACTTAGTGAGACCCTATCTCAAAATGAAAAGGCTGGGAATATAGCTTAGTGTAGAGGCCCTGGTTTCAGTCCTCTGTACCACAATGCATATGTACATACATACATACATACTTTAAACTTTAACAAGCATCTCCTTTGGGAAAATTCTATTTAATTAAAATTTAGAAAAGTCTGGGTTTGAGTGTAGCTCAGTCATAGAGCGCTTGCCTAGCATGCAGAAGGCTGTGGGTTCAAGCCCTAGCCCTGCAAAACAAAAAGTACACAAACAAACTTAGTAAAGTCTGTTATTTAATGCTGCTTAGCAAATCACAGATAACAAAATTACAGAGACTTTTAAATTTACTTTCTCTTTTCTGATGTTACAGAAGTTATGGACTTTCTGCTCTGTTAGTATTTACCATTGAAATGATTCCTGAATGAATTCTGAAGTTAATCAGTGTCTCCACTCTCTTTAGCATATTAGTTCAAATTATGTGCTATTTTTATCAAATTTTTTTTTAAAAAACCCACAAGCTAGATAGTACTGCCACTCTCCTTACTACATAATAAATTTCCCTACCTGCTTACTGACTTATCTTCTTGAATCTCAGGCTTTCCTTCTGTAATAATTTTTCCTGCCTCCTTGAAATACAGCCACTGGAAATTCCATTAGCCTGTTGGTGACAAATTCCTTTCAGTTTTTCTTTAATTTAAATGTCTTCTCTTTTGCCTGCATTCTTGGAAAACAAAATTTTGTTGATTGTGCCGTTCTTGACTGGCAGTAACTTTCTCAACATGGAAAATACTGTCCCACTGTCACCTCGCTTCCGTTCCTGTTGGAGGAAAGTGCTGCTGTCATTCCTTTGTAGGTCGTCTGTCCTTTCTGTCTGGCTGATTTTAAGCTCTTTTCTGTCTTTAGTGTTTTTCAGTTTTATCACAATGTGTCTAGCTGTACGGGAGATTCCTTTTTAATGTATCTTATTTGGTCTAAGTAGTGATGCCTTTTTTTCTGGATTTATATTTTTCTCAGTTGTGGAAGACGCATTCAGTGCCTTTAGATACTGTTTCTCTGCCAATTGTTTTACTTTTTGAGGTGCCTTTTGGTCTTTATTCATGAGAACTTGTTATATTTCCCATCTCTATTATTATTCTTTCATATATTCCATCTTACCGTGCCTCTTTAACTGGATAATTTCTTTACATTTATTACTAACTTTTTAGTCTTCAGTGACTAATTTTCAATTTTTCTGATTCATTTAGTTCTTCACTTAATTTTTGTATTTCCACATGATTTGATTCCTCATGGGATATACCTCACTGATTTTAATAGCTTCTTATTCCTTACCTAATGTATTCCTTTTTAGTTTTATTCTTAATTTCTTTTAAATATTTCATGCATACATACTTCCTGCTAAGAGGCGACAATTTCAATAACTGGTGTTCTGGAGGGTTTGAGTTCAGTGTTTCTTTTTTTTTTTTATTTTAAAGAGTAAAACAAGAATAACATAATAATGGGGGGACTTAGCATATTACAGACAAAATGGTAGGAACTTATCAATGGTTATCGTTTTACATATTATTATCTACAAAATAGTTTCTCAGGAAAACAAATAGACAAATAATAGTGCGTTAGAGACAAAAGAGGTAGGAGATTATCAAGAGTTGTGCTATACTTTGGTATCTTCAAAGTGGCTTCTAAAGAAAATAAATAGAGCTATACATGAGTGACCTATTGAAAAATCATTAACTCTTCTCAATGGTTGTTGTAGGAAACACATAATAATAAACATACATCCATTTATGAAATAGGATAGGAACATTACAAACTTTACACAGTTATGGATAGATTAGTAGGAAAATATCAATGGCTGCTGTAATACGTGGTGGTATCTTCAGAGTGGTTTCTCAGGAAGACAGAGATATGCAAGAGGGACCTATTAAGTAGTTACAGCCTAAGGGTTGTCAAAAATAGCATATTACCTCCTCACCAGTGACTCCTTTCACTGAGGTATGATGGCTGGAAGGAAGGCCAGGATTGAAAAGAAGGACCGAGAGACTTGCACCTGTGTCTAGCAACAGGCTGTTTTCTTGTTCCTCCATAGTCATGATTACCCAGGACTCCTCGATGGAGATGACGGTCTGGCCAGAGGGAGAAGGCAGAGCATGCCCCAAGCCCTCTCATTCCTGTTGGACTAACTGGTAGCATGGGTCTGAGCTCTGGGGCCTCCATGAGTTCAGTGTTTCTAATGACCACAGAAAAAATGGCTTGTTTCCTTTGTGTTTATGCATTTTTTTGTCAAGTTCATTGCTGAATCCTGAGGAGTTAAATTTCCTCCCCGAAGCGTTTTTTTACTAAACGCCAGGAGGTACAACCAGCTGGGGGCCACATTACTTCTCTTCAGGGGCCAGCCTCACAGGGAAGCCTCGGTTTCACTGTCACCTCCTTGCTGGGCCTCCTGATTGCACTACTGAGGTTGATGTCCATCCTAAAGGCAACCTGACCCTTGTTACACGGCAGCTCAGCCCTCTTCCTGTTTCTCTGACACCTTACCTATTTTCTTTATTTTCTAGTAAGCCCAGCAATGACTTCGCAATTACATCTATTTTAAATTATCTAGCCTCCAGTTGGATTTTAGGAATAAAAGGGCACTGACCTTATATAATTTGTTGCTAAATTACTACTTCGCAAAACCTGTTGAACTCTGAGAGTAAACACTGGTTTACATTCTCTGGGCTTTCAAAAAGTCAAGTTTAAGCTAAAAAGTCAATCAAGCTGTGCATGTCCCTGCTCTCTGTGAATTTCATCTGTGATCAGAGCATTAGTTTGAGTTCCTTCTGTTACTGTTGTTTGGATTCTGCTCCAGGATCATTTTAACCTTAAGAAAAATAGTGTATGATTAGGAGAAAGATAAAATTGATACATTGAAGTCATTACTGTTTGTAGCCCAGGAGAATTTTAGGAGGATTCAGAGTGCATGTGTGTCTGTGTATGTGTTTGAGACTGAATTTCACACTGAAACACTCCTTTATATGTGGCGCTTTCCGGTGCTTTCTTTGTTTTAGCAAAAGAGCAGTGGCTCTGGCAGCAGTGTGGCGGATGAGAGAGTGGATTATGTCGTGGTGGACCAGCAGAAGACCCTGGCGCTGAAGAGTACCCGCGAAGCCTGGACAGATGGCAGACAGTCCACGGAATCTGAAACACCAACCAAGAGTGTGAAATGAAAACACTGCTTTGCTATTTCCAAGCAGAAGTGAACTGAATTGTGAAGATAAACCCTGCTTGAAGCCATGTCGACACTTCTCTTAAACAGATCATCCAATGAGCAGAGTTGAAATCAAAGGGGCTTTTAGACATAAACAATTTGGACTGTAAATGGTGCTTCATGGTATCTGAACAATTTGTAACATGTAAATACTGTGGGAAAATAGTATTGTTTAGCTCCCAGAGAAACATGTGTCTTGTAGTTAACACACTTGTGGTATTACTGTATTTATGCACTTTTCATTTAAAACATGGGTTTGGGTATTCCCAGTGTACCATAACAGAATTCCTTGAGGAGTTCTTGTTCTTCCTCACACTACTCTGTATAACAGCACTAAGTTAACTAAGCTACTTTTAGATCTGGATGTTGCTGTTTAATCTACAGCCTGACAACATAATGAAAAGTAGATTCACAAGTTAGCTGTCTCCCTGAAGCTTCAGGTAGTAACTATTCACTTAAAGTAGGGTCTAATTGGATTCATCCTTCATTACCTTCCAAAATGCTGAGGATATTGTATATACAGGTGTCAGAATCCAGTTCTTTGGTTCATGTACATTTAGTTTGTAATGGTGGATCTTTGTTATATTTTGTTAATTACAGTGTTTTTGGTTCACTGAGTGAAGATTCTGCAGGGTGGGATCTTGCACCTTTGAAAGACTGAATATAATTACACTATCAAGTAAGCTTGAAATGTTGATGGCATGCAGTGATGATGTGCTCTTACACTTGCTAACATGTATTAAACGTTATTTGCAAAAGGTAGATTATGTAAAAATCAGGTACGTACCCGGCACTAATGTGCTAACACATTGATCAGGTTTAGATAATGAGCTTTTTTACTTGTGTTCTCATTAGTCCTAGTGTTGGTTTCCAGTATAGAATTAAAGAAACAGTTGACATTTGCTCTTAATAACAACAACATACTGTGATTTTTTAAGGAAACAGTAATTCAGATTTATTACTCTCAGAATGAAATTATGTCTTTTGACACCATAGTGCCCTTTCTATGATTTTTTTTTTACTCAATATTCTTCTTGGCCTTATATTTAAATCCCTATGCAATTAATGTTTTATAACTGCATTTTTTTAAAAAAAAATAGATGTTATATAAGTGATTCTCATATGTAGCACCTATTGCTTTTCCAGTAAGAGAATTAAGGGTTTTATACTGTGATTTGTATTCACTGCCCCAGTTCACAAAGTAGTGGAGCCTTGCTATTATGTGAAATCTTCTAGTCACAGACCCCTTCCAATCAGATTTCTGAATTTCAGTAGATTGGTATAAAACTGTGACATGGATATCAAGACCACAAATTATAGTGAGGATATGATTATATTCATGTGTCTCGACTTTGCAACATAATTTAGAAAGCAAATATAGTTTGGTTTTCTTTAACCTAAATTATGTACAATCTCTTACATGTTGATTTGAGATTTACTAACACATTTTGGGGACATAGGTGTAAGAGTACCACTGCTGAGATAAGACCCCTCCGTTCAGAGCTCTAACTATTGCCTGAGTATACACATGTGCTCTGATTTCTGGCCCATTGGCCATAATACTGTGCCTAATTAATGTCCTACGTTTATTTCCCCAATCCACAAACTTAAGTGTTCCCAACAATATAAATTGTAGACTAGTAGCATTTGATGCTTTTAAATGTTTGCTTCCTAAAAAAAATACAAAAAATATCTAAAATTCAGAACTGAATTTTGAGGTGAATGTTTCAATAAAAAGGATTGTTTGAGTTTGGTGTGCAAGCTGTTTTGTAATAAAGCAAAAAAAAAAAATTCTAAAATCATTGACATGTACCTAAACTATCAAAATACATAACACAGTTGGTGTGTAAAGATACTAAATTGTGTTACCTGGAGGATACACATATTTTAAAGTGTGAAACAATAATAAACATGTGTCTAATTCAGAAATTAAAAAATTATCTTTAAACTTGTCTATTGGGAAAGTCCAAAGCAATTATGTCTGTTTTTAAGTATAATTTCTCCTTAACTTTTTACAAGTTACTATTTTTGTAGATCTACAGTACTGGTTTTTATCATTTTGTTGAATATTTAAGAATTAATGGGCTACATGTACCTTAATCAAAGATAGAGTACAAATTTAGCCTCTGTAAGGCCCTGGGTTCAAGCCTAAGGATCCTGCATCCCCCAAAAGGAAAAGAATTGAGAAAACTGGTTTACTTTAGAAAGCGGAATCACATTGAACATAGTATTAACAAATTAAAGAGTTTCCTAGGAAACAGTATCTTAAAATTTGTATGTGTTCCTCTAGTACATATTGCCTGGAAAGTCCAATTTGTCAGTGTAAACGTATATTGAGTCCCCAGGTGTGATATTTTAGTTCATTACACTGAATAACAAGATTTCTGAATTATTTCTGAGGAATGGGTATTTGGAATTATAGTTAATAACACCTCAGCTGTCAATTTATTTCTCTGCCTTAGGTTACTTGAGGGTTATTAATAAAAGTTTAATTTACACAAATGTAAGTACAAATAATAACAGATTTCAAACCAACGTTTCTGGAGAGCTTTTAGTTAGAGGTAGCTGTAATTATATTCCAAGGTTTATATTAAGTATAAATGACCTTGGTAGTGGAACTTAATACATAAGAGTCTCCAGTGTGGTAAAATGTGCCTTTTAGTAAGTTTTTAAATATGCATTTAAACTAAATTTGAGTCATATCCTTTTTTGTGTGAAATCATATCCTTTTTAGCTCAACCTTAACTTGAAGAGGCAAGGCTCCAGCAAGGCATCACATGAAAATCACTGCTTAACCATGTGACTGTTACGATGTATCAGAAGTCTCTTTCTCCCACCCTTTTGTAATTTTATAAAACTCTGAAGATCTGGATGATTGTTTAAATGTCAAAGCACAATTCTGCTTTCAAAAATTGAAGTTTAGACTTGAAAACTTTAAGCTACTTAGCTCACAGAAGATATCACTCAGTAAGCTATAGAAGTATTTTTAATCTATTCTCTACATAATTTCACTGTGAACACTAGAAAATTCTATAAAGGTACTAAGGGAGAGAAAGAGTGTGTGTGTAAATGAAAGCATTGTATTTAATCACAGGCTAAATTTAATTTGATTTAGGAATACTGTTAACTTGTATATTCAGGTCATAACTTCTTCTGGACTTCTTATATTTAATTAATGGGGCTTACAGTTTTCCTCTTGATAGTGTAAAGTGGAAAATGAACATCAGTGTTTATTTTTTAGTAATGGAAAGTTGTCTGCTTTCCCCCACTAGACACAAAAGTATTTTTTAGGTTTTGTTAAAATATTAACTACTTTATGCTTGCACACTATGCCACAGACACTGGTCATAATTGTTGGCTGCTCCCACACCCCTCTAATGCCTCCTTACTTGGCCCATTCAGAGTGTAGGCACTGGGAGTTTGAATGAGTACCCAGCGACACAGGCTGACCCTTCTGTCCCTGTCTCTGGGTCATTCTGGTAGGTCTTATCCTTCACGGTCAGGTACATCAAGTCAGTGCAAAAGACCAAGTCAACTGGGTACACAGAGCAAGAAGACCTATATCCTACTGTAATGGTTCTCAGTAACATCTAATGTCACATGTAAATTTTTATCTGACTTTAAAAACAACTGTGAGATGAAAGGCCACAGAATGAGCAAATGTTGTGGACATAAGATAAAAATTGATTGTCGGATTGTGTAGATTGTCTTCACTTCCATAGACTTCTTTACGTTCAACATAAACTGCATTTGAGTGAGTTAATTAATTAGTTAAGGAATTAGCACATTTCTGCTTCCTTTACATAAAGACAGTTTTGTGTGAGCTCTGATAACCTCAATTGTTGATAATAATCTCAAATTTTAACAGCATAATCTTGTGTAAAATTTTTATTTTTCTCCTTTTGCATATCTTTTGTAACGATCCCAATGTAGATATTTTCTGCTACCAAATAAAACTTTTCAAAGAGTTTGGCTTCAAAGACCTTTAAATAGACAATTTGGATACTGAGATTTTAAAATAAGGACATATAAACATTTATAAATATTTAATAATCTATAAATGTGTATTTCCAGCCCATCCTTAAAATCTTTTTATTTTTATGGATGCATGTTTGCATTGCACAATGATTTCATTCATCGTGGAGGGTTTGCACAGGTACATAACACGTCGTAATTCTGTTTCCAGCCCTTTGTCACCACCACCACTGCCACTTCCATCTCTTGGCTCCCATTTGCAGAAGATCTTGTCTTTTTAGTTATCTGTCTTTTATTTTGCTGTTTGTATTTTGGTTTCTCATGTAAGAGAACCATATGGCACTTAAGTTTGTGTGTCTGATTCATAGCACGTAACACTACTGTCTCAAAGTGCATCCATTTTCCTACAAATGACTCTAGCTTATCCTTTATGGCAAAGTAGTACTTTATGGTGTATAAATGCCACATTTTCTTTTATCTATTCATTTGATGGACATATACGCTGCTTTCAAGATCTAGACACTGAGTTGTGCGGCTATAAATATGGTTATGCTTGTATCACTGTAATAGGATTTCCTCAACTCTTTGGGGGAAGATATCTACCTACAAGGGGAATACTGAATGGAATAGAATATCATCTTTTAGTTTTTTCAGGAATCCTACACTGCTCTCCATAGTGGTTATGCTAAGACTGGGGATATAGCTCAGTGTATAAGTGCCTGGCTGGCACATACAAGGTCCTGAGTTAAGTTCCTGGTACCAAAAGAATAATAATGATATCATCATGATAATGGTTATTCTAGTTTACATTCCCACGAACAATGAAGAGGACCACCCCCAACACACACACACACACACACACACACACACACACACACACACAAAAGGTTCCCGCCACCCCTTGCCTTTGTTATTTGATTTCTTGATGATAGCCATTCTCTCTGGAGTTAAGATGGAATCTCAGTATTTTCATTTGCACTTCTCTGAAGAGATGCTGAGAACTTTAAAACTTTTATCTGAACCAAAAGCTCCACTGTGCTATTAATCAGAGTCCTACACCCACTTTGCAGTTACTGATTTCCTTTTATGCTAAAATGGGATTTGTTCTAAATAGAAAGCACTGAGACTGACCACATGCATATGCCTTGTCATTTTTCTGTCCAGCCAGTGTCAACATTTTATTGAGTAAAAGGCCAAATAAACAAGGGCCTGTATGTAACCTTTGCCGTCAGAAATTGTTGTATATGTAAAACATGACCTGGGGAATATTACAGTTCTATAAGAGTTTTCAAGCAGCCCCAGTAATTCAGAAAATCCAGAGGAATGGGAAAAATCAACCTTTCGTTCCATTCAGCCTAGCATTTTGTAACTCTGAGTCTCCTTAAATCATATATATGTTTTAATTATATATATATATATATGAATATATATATGAATATTTAAATATATGTTTGAATATGACTCAGGATGGCCTTGAACTCAATTATGTAGTCCAGGCTGGCCTCACCTTCATGGGAATCCTGTCTCGGCCTCCTGAGTGCTGTGTGCCACCACACTGGCTCTCCTTAAATCATAGTTAGAGAGAGTAGGACTATCTTCTTTGAGGTCACACTAAACTCATCTGTCTTTGTGTCACCTTGTAAATAAGCATTTAGTTTCTTTGGGGAAAAAGCTACATCCTTTGATGGAGAAACATTTTTTGAATTGCAGCAGCACCTTGGTGGAGGAGGGGAAGTCTTGTCAGACTTGTCACTGTGTTTCCAGCAGTCAGATTCACTTAAGCTCAGAAAATGAGTTCAGTAGAGAGGGACAGTTTGCATTGAGTTGATGAAGGGGTGAACTCCAGGTCCTTGGTCTGTGGCTAAGGTGGTGCATGCTTGGAGCCAAGAAATGCTGTGCCTTGATGATGCTATGGATCCACGGCTGGTGCAGTGGTCTCCTCAACCTGGGTTCCTGCTTGTAGTTCTTGGCTCTTCATGGTGGCTAGTAAGTATAAACTTAACTCTCTGCAGTAATTTCCCTTATGCTTGAAATTATTAGTGTGGCTTAAATTTGTTAAAAACTGACATAGTAGCAAAGTATTTTGCATTCTGAAATTCTTTTCTTCTCCCACATTATAAAACTGTGTAGTTAAAGGAAATTTGTAGAAGAGTGGAAATGCCTGCAGGCCACGTTACCTCCCTGTCTTAACTGAATGGCAACTGAATTCTTCTTTTGGCATTAACTACTGTCAATAATATTTTCCTAGGTCTTAAGCAGCTACATTTTTTTCTGCATAATATTCTGCTGCATATTTCATCAGGAATATTTTCCTAAGTCTTTGTTATTTTATGAAAAAATAAAACAAAAATTCATAAACAATAAGAGAATACAATACTCTAGTTATTACACTATGTATTACACTATGTATTACAACTATATCTTCATAGTAGTTACTCGGAGTATAATACATAAACCAAAAAGATTCTTACAAAAAAGAAACAAACAGATAATACCAGTCTGTCCTTTCAACAAACTGTGATAAGCAAGTAGGACAAATGAAACCTATTATGATATATATTGAAAACTATTTAAAACAATGGGATTTGTAATTCAGGGAAGTATATGAACTCCCTATTTCCTATTTTTCTCCTTTCTCTTTTTCTCTTATTTGTGTTTTTCATATAAGAAAAACCATAATATATTTGAGCTTGTGTCTGACTTATGTCCTTAACATATTTTAAAGTTACATGTATTCACCTATGAATGCCTCAAACTCAACCTTCTTTATGGCAGAGTATTACTCCATTGTATATAAATACCACATTTTCTTTATGAATTTATCTGTTGGTGAAAATATATTCTGTTTCCAAGATGTAGATGTTATAAATTATGCTGTTATACACATGGGTATACATTTTCCCCTGTAATGTGATGATACTTTTAGTTTTTTGAGGACTCGCTGCACTGATTTCCATAGTGATTATACTAGTCCACATTTTTTTCTTTTTTTTTTTTTGAGACAGGGTCTCACTATGCAGTTTAGGCTGGCCTTGAACTCACTTTGTAGCCCAGCCTGGCCTCGAACTTGCAAGGTTCCTTCTGCCTCAGCCTCCTGAGTACTGGGATTACAGGCATGTGCCACCATGCCCAGCACTAGTCCACATTCTTACCAAAAATTTAGAGCTCCCTTTTGTGCACAATCTTTCCAGCAATTATTATTATTACTTTTTTATGATAGCCATTCTTCTGGGGTAAGATGGTAGCTCAGTGTAGTTTTAACTTGCATTTCTCTGATGGTCAGAGACAATGAGCATTTTTTTCTGTATTGATTGACCATTTGTATTTTTCTTTTGAGAAGTGTCTGTTCATTTTAGTGGACCATTTTTTGATTGGGTCTTTTATTTTGTGTGGGGTGGGTCTAATTTTCCTGAGGTCTTTCTATATTCTCAGTGTTAGTCCTCTGTCCAAGTAATAGCTGGCAAATAATTTCCCATTCTGTAGATTATCTTTTCACTCTGTTAGTTGTTTCCCTGCTGTGCAGAAGCTTTTACATTTGATATAATCCCATTTATTGATTCTAAATATAATTTCTGGCACCATTGGAGTTCTCTTCAGAAAATCTTTGCCTACACCTATGTCTTCAGGAATTGTACCCTTTTTTAATCTTCCAGTAGGTTGTTTCTCTTTTAACATTTAGATTTTTGATCCATTTTGATTTTAGTTCACTATGTAGTGAGATTATATGAGTTTAGAATCCATCCTCTGCATGTACTATATATCCAATTTTCCTGACCATTTATTCAAGAGTCTATCTTTTCTCCACTGTATGTTTTTTACTCCTTTGTCAAAGATCTCAAATAGCTGTATATGCCTGGGGTTGTTTCTACTTCTTCTGTTTTGTTCCATTGATCTGCATACCTGTTTTGTGCCAGTACTATGCTGTTTTAATCACTGTAGCTTATAGTATAACTTCAAATCTGAGATTGTGGTCCCATCTGCTTTGTTTTTGTTACTCAGGATTGTTTTTGCTATTCTGGGTCTCTTCTAATTCTGTGTAAATTTTAGGATTGTTTTCTCTAAGCCTGTGAGAAATGCTGTTGGTATTTTGATTGGGATGGCATTAAACCTGTGTATCAGTTTTGGAAGTATAGTCATTTTGATTATGTTGGTTCTGCCTCCCTAGGAATAGAGGATATTTTTCCATTTTCTAATGTCCTTTTTTGTTTCCTTTTTCAATATGATGTAATTTTCACTGTAGAGTTTTTTCATTTCCTTATTTAATACCTAAGTATATAATCTTGTAATACTATTGTGAATGGTATTGCTTTCCTAATTTCTTCTTCAGTGAGTTCACAATTAGTATATAGGAATGCAAATGATTTTTATGTATTTATTTTGTATCCTGCTACACTGTTGAATTTATTTATCAATTCTAGGAATCTTTGGTGGAGCTTTCGGGTCTTATAAGTAACAGACCACGTCATCTGCAAATAACGAAATTTTGACTTCATTCTTGCGTATATGTTTCTTTTTTATTTACATCTCTTGCCTCATTGCTCTGGCTTATGTTTTGAGGACTACATTGGATAGTTGTAATAATGGACATCCTTGGCTTGTTTTTTATTTTAGAGGTAAAGTTTCCATTTAATATGCTATTGAGCTTCCATTTAATATGCTATTTTCCCCATTTAATATGCTATTGAGAATAGGTTGGTTATGAATGGCTTTAATCATGTTGAAATAAGGTGCTTCTATACCAGTGACAGTGAACGTTTTAGAGCTTTCAAAGATAACAAACAGTCTGCTGCAGCATGCATGTCATAGGTTCACCACCACTGTTTTATTATTTTCTTCAGGGTTTTTATCATGAATAGATATTGGGCTAGGGATATAGCTCAGTGGTACAAGCACCTGCTTGTTAAGTGCAAGGTTCTGAGTTCAATTCTGGGTACCCCCCACAAAAAAAATGAATGGATATTGGATTTTGTCAAAGGCTTATTCTGTATCTAT